ACATCCTTGCACAAAAACCCTCTTCAGGCTTAGCTGTAGGAAGGAGGGGGAAGAGAGCAGCACAGCAAATCCTGATAACTAAATCTCAGGCTTTGAGCAGTCTGGCTCCAGAAAAGATGTAAACCTTCTTCCATGAGGCTGGAAACCGAGGTACAAAGAAAATGCCACACAACTCAAGGCATTTTCTTGGAACAGTGAGGAGAGGTCCAAAGTGTTAGGAAATGGTTGTGCTAAGCATGCCTGGAGGAGCTGGTCTCTGAATTCATGGAATGGAAGGTCTCCAGGAGTAACAGGTCTTTAAACAGTCAGTTTTAATGATACAAGACCCACTGGCTCTTGAAAGACTCAGGTGCCAAAAAGCACTTAAGTCTTGGAAGGCTGCTTGGAAAAGGAGCAGCATTTTCCCAGCTCCTGGAGGGGTATGAACCTCAAAACCCAAGTCTGGGTGAAGCCATCTGGAAGAATCCCAACTGATCAGAGGGAACTGCAGCCTTAAAACTTTGTCTGAAACATCTCCTGAGCTGGGTGACTTGTTAACCAGTTAGCCTGGTGAGTGTGGCAGCAGAGCAAAAAGTGAGGAAAACAGCTTCTTATTGACTGACAGAACAAACAGGTGAAGAAAAAGCATCAGTCAGATGTCATCTTCAGGGTTTTTGCAGCTAAGAGTGATTGACAAGCAGACATAAAGACACAGAAATCCTCATTGCAGGCAAGCAGGCAAGAGGAGAGCTGCAAAATGATGTTTCATAGATACAGATATGCCTCCTCCATTCACTGAAGGAGAATATTCCTGAGTGATGATACAGTGATGGTACAATATTCCCTGGTGATGATACAGGAAAGCCTTTTCCATGTTTGGGGCATCAGGAGGCATCTTCTCTCCACCTTAGGTTTGGGTATAATCAGTTTTGTGGGCTATTCCCTAGAGAATTGTTTGATCATGTGATCTCTCTGGTTGTCCCCCAGTCCTTTTGGAGGACTTGAGGGCCTGCTCACAAAACAGACCTCTCAGAGGTACTACATTTCTGTGGATTTTTGAAACCTTGTAGCTGACTAAAGAAGGACCCACGTGGTGCCCAACCCTGTAAGAGAGGAGTAGCTGGATGATGTGAGCAGTCATAATTCCTACATGTGCTGGCATTTGCTTGCAAAAAAGAGGGTCAAAGTGGCTGAGAGCTGTTTTCTGTGGGTGCAGGAGTGAAGATTAGGAGGTGGGGCACCCATATCCTGTTTAGTTTCCCAATTTCCCCTGCTCAGGGTATATCTTATTTTTCATTCTGTTTCCTTTGCTGCCTTTTTCATGTGTTTGTTTATGTCGTCTATCAAGTTTATCATTATGTGCTCGCACACATAAAATCTTTATTAGCCGTGTGTATTTTCTATTCTCTGTTCTAATTTTCCTTCCTCCTTGCATTGTTAACAAACTCTGCTGATTGCAGATGTTTCCCATTTGACAGCACCTGAGACTCAGGTTTTCCAGCCATGCAACAGGAGGAGTGCTGGCTCCTTCCTCTGGCCATCCTGAGGTGTGTGATGGGGCCATCCCACACAGAAGCAGGGGCTGAACCTGCCCTCCCAGCCAAACCTGGGCTCACAGTCCTCCTTGGGATCAGTAGAACAGAAGAGAAATAGAAATTGGGCTGTGATCTTAGGGGTGGTTATGAATGGGTTGTGCTGCTCTTTGAAGTGCCTGGCTGAAGGAGAGGGGGATTAGGGTCAGTGCAGAGACTGAGAAGGTCCCCTGTGCTCTGTGTCCCATTTCAGCTGCTGGTAAAAGCCCTTGAGTGGTGAATAGATGTTGGCCATGTCTGCTTCCCTCCAGCTTGGCTTGACTTGGCCCCTACACTGGCAACAACATCCAGTCCAAGAATGCATCACCCCACTGGCTCTGAACATCACTGCTCTCACCCCCATTAGAAGTAAAGAAGGGGTAAAAAGAATTTCAGTACTTTGCACTGGTTTGGCCAAGTTAAACTGCTTTACTTACTGATACCTTCTACATAAGGGCCCAGTTTGCTCTGATAAAGCCATTTCTGAAATCATACTGAGCAGTACAGGACCATGGAATGGTGCAGACGTGTAGCTGTGTTGTGGCTGGGCATCCTGAGCACCCTTTCCTTTTGGGAAGTGGTCAGAAGAAAGTTTCTTCACCAACAGCTCTTGAAATCCTGCCTAATAAATCCTTCCCTAGCGAGTTTTCTAGGAGATTATTCTGCCCTGGACACAGGAGTGAATAAATTACCACCTTTGCGATTCTTTAATCTTACCACTCTTTCCAGAATATCAGTTTAAGGGACACTGATAAAGCATTTGCACTGTCCATGTGGGACAGTGTCCTCTCTCCTTCCTATTCCAGAAAACCTCTGGTGTTTTTTCAGTGTCCTTCGGCAGGGATGAGAGTTCCTTTTCTGCAACTGTTGCTTGAATTTCAGTGGCTACAAAAGTGCAAACCACCTCCCTTTCATGGGGGATAAATCTTTAAATAAGGAAACAGGAAACAAAACTTAAGGACATCTTTTGCTTGGCTCCCTGTTCTTCACTTCCCGGTTTTTCATTTTGCTGCTTGGTGTTCCTGCTACCTGTACCAATAGAGAGAGGACTTTTTGGCCAGTGTCCCAGAATTGCTCCACAAGAAGGTAGCACCAGGGAAAGTAATAGCTGGGATGCAGAGCCTGCAAAGACAGTTTCAAAATGCTTACCCTCAAGTGTGCTTGGGACAAAGTCCTTTCTGAATGAGCAGGGATTTGCAGATGGGATCCCAAAGCACATCCCATGGAAGAAATTGCCAAGACTCTCATAAACCAAGTGGTCAGGAGGGCTGGAGTCCCCCATGGTAAGTGGTCAGATAGAGGAAGATCCTGGTGACAAGACCAGGTGGCTTGACCTTATTGCAGCAGGGAGGAGGAGCTGGCAGGGAAAGGTCTGGTTCATGCCAAAGCAGCCTTTTCATTTGGTGGCTGCTCACTCCATGTTCTGCCAGGATGTGCTTCCCTTCTCTAATTGCGTGCAGCTCTTCCTGCTTGGAAAGCTGCTCCCAGCGTCAGGCAACATCCTGCTTTATTACAGTGTCGTTTTCAGGCTGCACCACCAAGGCTGAGGCAGAAGATGTGTGTGTCATGTCTCATTTGCTCAGCTGCAGAGTCTTTCAGGGGCAGCTTCTGCTTGTGCTGATCCTCTTTGAGCCCTGGATTGGGCTGCAGCCCTGGAAAAGCATCACATATTTCTTAGCATTGCAGCCACTGGAGTAGTGAGAATGGGTACAACCCCTGGAGGAGACGTCAGTGAAAGCTTCCACAAATCACAAGATCTAGTTGTACTGCTCCATATAATTAGTGATTAAAATGAGTAAAAACAAAGCAGCAATTTTCTTATTGATCCCTCAGCAAATAGCTCTGTCTGTTTTCTTCTGTATTGTTTCTTCTTATTAAATAGCCTCGAATAAGAAATGTCAGTCAAATGAATTTAGATTCCTGGTGCTTCAGACAGAAATCAAAGCAGGATTGAAAGAGGAGCGATAATTAGAGAGAGGAATTCCACCTCCACACACTTCTTCCCTTGCTCAAGGAGTGCTGATTTTATCTAAATTGCCAAAGCCATGAGCAAATGAGAGGTGATGGGAATTATAGACTGCAGATGCTGAGACAAAGCAAGGGAAGCTTTAATTAGTGCATTTTAAGGTAGAAATGAATTTCCTGGGAATAAATTATTCGACTCAAGACACATGGAGCTTCTTAGAGGTGAATTGAAGAGCTTTTTACACATCAGAAAGCAGGGCTCACAGGTTATATCTGTCTTGTAGAAATGAGTAACCCATCACTGAGGTCTGAAATACATCAGCATGGATCCTTCTTTCTTTGCATCCCACTTTATTTTTTAATGTTGAAGAATATTTTTTAATATTGAGGAATTCCCACAGCTGCAGATTCACATAAAGCAGAAAATTTTCCCAAATACCCACATTTACTCGTTGAAATGTTAGTGATGGATGCTGAGAAACTGGGAGTTCCATATTGAACCTATGGTACTGAAAGGAAGTTATTTTCCTTTCAGTTCTCATTCTCTTTCCTTAGCTCTGTTTCCATGCTTTCATGACACTTGCACACACATAAGTCGCTGGGAACCTTAAAGCACTGACCTTTCTATGTTTTCAGCAGATTTTCACGGCTTTTAAAAGGTTGAGACAGTAACAACTCTGTGCCATTTGGAGGCGGCTAGAGCTTCCTGGCCGGATTGATGGTGCTGAAACAAATCCATTTCGCTGGGTGCTTTAATCCTGATTCCCTGACTCAGCAGAATTACTCAGTCTCTTAATTATTTACGTATTTTATGTGAGCCTGTTGCTCAGAGATCTTGTTGAAGCAAGCAGGAGAGGGGCCAGGTTGAGATCTCATGGTTGTGTTGCAGGAGACAGACCCTTGATGCACCTGCTGCACAAACACAGCATGAAATGGGTTTGCCCCTCCAAGAGCTACACTATTCTCCTCTGCCCTGAAAAGTGGGAATGAAAACACCCCAGGATGGAAATGAAAACACCCTGGGAGGCTGGGAGATGGACAGGCCATTCCAGCAGCACCTTTCCAACAGCTTGGGGGTGGCTGGCAGTGGTGGTCTATGGAGAGATGGGTGTGGCCTGGAAAATCAGCCACCACTCATGACTTTCCACAAATCCTGCTCTTCTTCATGTGTAAGATAAAACAGATGGGTAGAGCAAGGTACAACCTGAAGGCTTCGGCTCAGTTTTTTGGCAAAGGGACCTAAAGTCCTAAAAGACCCTGCACTCTGTGTGGGAAAACAAGCCTGAGACTGGCTGGTTTTCCTGGTATTGTGGTTGCCTGTTTCAGCTGTTGCTCCTTTGTGCCAGAGGTTAACTTGTATCACCCATGATGAATGAGTCAGTCAAGGGGTATTGAACGCTGATGTGTTTATCTTGTGGCAAGATGGGAATGTTGCAAACTTGTGAGCTGCGGGAGGCAATGGGCTAATTTGAGATTTGTTCCTAGCCCTCGCCATGCGAATGGTGTCGCTGCGAGCCCAGCAATGAAGTTCACTGTGTTGTAGCAGACTGCGCAGTCCCCGAGTGTGTCAACCCAGTCTATGAACCTGAGCAGTGTTGTCCTGTCTGCAAAAATGGTAAGAAAGAACTGTGTTGGCTTTAACAGAGATATAAAGGAAACATTTGATTGAAATGCTGTTACTGAGGTTTGCTTCCATCAGCACGGGCTGGTCCTTCTCCTGGTGCTTCATTTATGGGTGAAAATTTAAGCTGCCCTTCCTGGCCTGTGTTTTCTCCTTGAAGCCAATGGAATGGCCGGCTTGACAAAGGTTTTGTAGGAGTGAGTCCTGATATCAGTGGCTGCTGTTTCATGTCTTTGTTTTTTTCCTCAAAATTAGTCTAACAGAGAATCAAATACATGAGAAAAGAGAGAGTCTTTGTCCCTACATTAAGAAACCAATGGTTGTTATCTAAGGCCAAGGGAAAACCCACCACAATCAATGGCAGAACGTTTCCTGTGGCCAGTAAGACACCCACCAAGCCCAGAACATTGTTAGTTGTGTGCTGTAGTCTGTGTGTAGCACAGACTGGCCCTCATTGCCCTGCTGAGGTCATTTCAGAGTCTGATTCATCAATAATTCAACAAATATTTTGGAATGACTGCAAGTACCTCTTTGGAAAATAAATCTGTTTCCAAAAAGGTCTCCCCAGCCTTGTTCCACAGCCTGTACTCATACATGTCTCTGAAAAAGCACCTTTCTCCTAATGTAGATGTGAAGACAGATTAAAAGGTAAGGCAGCTGCACATAAACATTTTCACAGCTTTCTAAACATGTAAGAAATGGCTACTTGGATTCATCTCCTTGTGTTTAGAATTCACTATCCGTATATATTTGCTCTTACATACATCACCGCTGCTGAATAAGAGTAATGGTTGCTTTTGTACCTAAATGAAAATGTTGGTAAAGAAATAACATTTTCAACACATTTTCTGCTCTGTAAGACAGAGTAAAGGCAAAGAGTTGGAAACGGAAACTACTTTTACTGAAGGAACTTGAAGAATTAAAAAATGTTTGGAAAATAATGCCATAAATATTACTTGAAACCTGAGGTTTGTATCTGTATTTTTGTTTAAAAATATTATGTCAGATTTTCATTGAGTTTTGTGTTTCTGTTGGAAAGCAGAAAATGTTCCTAGGAAATCTCATTGGTTTGCTTTTATTGCTGAGGTTCAGAGGAGAGGTTTGTTACCCAGCTCTGTGCACCACCTTTGTGTACAGCTCACTGTGTTTGGGTGTGAGTTTCTCATCAGGCTCACCAGGACTGGTGTCCTGGGTTGGTGACTCAGGGGTGCCACTGGCTGTCACCAGGCCTGTCACGGAGCTCAGACCCATTGACACTCAGCAAACACCTCTGGAGCGTGTGTGGCCTCTGTGCCCCTGTCACATGTAGGGCACCATCCCAAATCCCCTCATTTACCATGGCAGCACATCCCATCTGGTTTGCATTGCATTAATCTGACCTGTGATAGTCCCTCAGGAATGTGAGCATTCCCAGGAATGCAGCTCAGAGGGGCCTTCACACAGATCTAGGAGCTGCTGGATTTCCCTACCAACCCTTCCCCACCGTGACCATTTCCCCCACACACCCCTTTGGGGGTTGGTGCCTTTCTGTGTTGCAGTCCCCAACACCCCTAGTGACCAGGGGGAGAAGCATCTTCCTTCCCAGAACTGTGTGCCCAAAACACTAGGGGGAAAGGGAAAGAGCAGCTCCTGCTGGTGGGACAAGGACAGGGGGGCTGAATGGACTGTGGGACACAGTGAAGTGATTGGAACCCTCACAGAGAAACCAGGAAACTTCATCCATGGTTTTACCAAATCTCTCCACTCCTCTCTTTGCTCATCGGTTGGGGATGCACATAAAGCTCTACATCTGAGGCCTATTTTAGGCAGGGATGTATTTCTCACCATTCCCTTCAGAGCAGCCTGGATGCCTTGGGCATCCTGTTGTCTGGGGCTTACAGCACAGCTCAGGCAGTGGAGGGTCGTGGCTGTTCCTTGGGATGGAGGAGCATGGGGGTGCTGTGGGGAGAGCTGAACCCCTCCTGGTGTCCCAGCCTGGCTGGAGGGATGGAGACCCCTCAGCTGGAAGGGCTTTCTCCTCCTCCTCCCTGCTGCTGCAGCTGACTGCCTTATAGTTGGCCCAAGCTGGGCAGTTTTGGCTGTGCCCTTCACAAATGTCATGAAGGGATTCCCACAGTGATAGAAATTAGTGAGCACCAAGGCAGTTCCTGTGTCCTGGGCAATCTGATGATGAGAGTTTGTTACTGCTCTTGGACATGGCTGAGTGTGGCACACACCATTCACCTTTCTCTTACACTTTGGGAGATTCAAGTGGAAGGAGCAGCCATTCCTGTGTCTCTTCCCATCTGAATCCCTCTGACACATCCTAATGAATGAGGAGCACAGTGTTTTCAGCTCTGTGTTCATCTTGAGATCAAAATTTTGTCTTTCAGCTCTCCGCTTCAGCCAGTCAATTAAAGCTCAGTTTCACAAATGCGTGAAGATAACACAAGCTGACAGACCCACTTAAATGACTGAAACACGCCTTTTTCAATTTATTTGGTTCCTTCCTTCCATTCAGTAGCTTTTGTTTTCTGCCCAAGTGGTGCAGACACAGTGCCATGTTGTGGTGTGATGAAAAGATTTTAGTCCCTGTGGTTGTAATTTCAGATTGACAAATAGAAGAGCTCGAGGGATACAGTTGTTGGGAGAGGGGGAGTAATCTCTGTGGTGCAAATCCTCAATTCAAAAGCTAGCCCTTAAAATTTTGGTAAGGAAAATCCTCATTTTAGGTAAAACACAGCCCTGCATCATTTGCTACACTCTGCTAGGAGCATGGCTTGCCTGCTTGTTCAGCTGTTGCTGCTATTAATGAGAGAATAATTCTCTTTCCATACAGTCAGGCAGATTTTCATAACCTTATTAATTACATCCTGCCAAGGGCAGAAGTGCTGTGATTCAGTGAGCACAGGAGCAAGCTGCCCAGAGAAGCTGTGGCTGGCCCATTCCTGGCAGTGTCCAAGGCCGGGTTGGACAGGGCTTGGAGCAACCTGGGATAGTGGAAGGTGTCCCTGCCCATGGCAGGGGGTGGAAGGGGATGATCTTTAAGAAATCCAAACCAGTCTGGAATTCTATCCTTCTGTGATAATGCAAAAATCTGTTGATTCTAACATTCCTGGCCTGAAAATTTATAGAAAGCCAATACTGATTTCTGTCCCATCATTTAAGAGCAGTCTGAACAAATGGCTTTGGAGATTTGTTCCTTCTTGGCCAAAGAAATGCAATGGTTATCTTGTGCCTCAGTAACCACAGCAGCTCATTCAAGGCTGGCTGTTCCTGGCAAGGGACACCACGTTCCACACAGACTTCACTGGCAGGCTCAGATTTGGGGGTGAGGAAGGCAGAGGACATTTTCTCCTTCGTGTCCTATCATCCAATTTGTCAGAGTGGATTTTGAGGGCGATGGCTCCAGGTGCTGCGCAGCATTTCTGTCACAGAGATGAAAGGTCACTGGATTTCACGTTTCCTGGTAGTGACAGACCGCAGAATTATGGCCCCGAGTTGTTATTTCCCGTGCCTTTGACTTCTTCAGACAAAAGTGTGTCACTGCTGTTAACTCTCTCCTCTGCAGGATCACAAAGTAGCCTGCCACTGTTAGAATCCAGCTCATGGTGCCATCATCGCTGTCCCTTCCCTGAGAACATCCACCCACTCTGCCTGTGCCAAAATTCCCAGTGAGGCCTGCATGCTCCCATTGGCCAGGCCTGTGGAGGTGCCTGTGTGCTGTTCTGGGCCCTTCTCTGCTCACCCTGCACTCTTCATCCCCACACCTCTGCTTGTCCCTCCCCATCAACTACCCACTGCTGTGGGGTGAGCCCTGGTGTTGGTGGGATGTGTGTGTGTTTTAACTCTTCCTTTTTCCTTCAACCGTTTGGATGTGGTCTGGGAATGGTGCAGTGTATCATCCCTCACATCGCTTCTTCTGGTTTAATCTATGATCCAGATTAAATACGTTCCTCTGCTTTGCCAGCTCCAAGCAGCTCTCACCTACTGCAGTGCACAAAGGGAGAAATTCCATGTGTTTCGTTTTCTTGAGGGATGAATAAAACAAATATTATAAATTTTTGGGTTGGGGTCTGGTCTTAATTTAATTTTCGTTGTCACCAATCCTCAACAAAAGATTTTGTTACCCAACGGACCAGATAAAAACTAACATGTCCACAGTGAAATATTTCCTGGCAAGTGTGCTTACTCAGCCTGGGCTTCTGGAGACGTTCTTGATGGAATACTGGGCAGCAGGAAGACATTTCGTAGATAATCTGTCACTGAGTCTTTAATTAAAGTTTTAAATTATCACAGTTGATACAGATTCCCAAGTAAAGAGGCTGATCCTGCCATCCACACACAAGTAAAAGATCCCTTTGACCTTCAACAGATTTTACATTGGTAAAATAGCATGTCTTCAGGCAAAGCACTTGTGGGTATTTATTATAATGTGCTATAAATATTAATAAATCCCTACAAATGTCTTCATATTTGAGGACACGAGCGCAAAAGTGAGTAAATAATAATTTATTTCCGTGCATATAAACCCACATTTTACCTAAGCTTCTCTCTTAATTTACTGGAATATAAACTCACTGCTCATTATTTCTCTGTTGGAGTTAATTTGAAATAAGCATTCTGCACCCCAGCCTGATCCTGCTGTAACACAGTGTGTCTTGCTCAGGAACCCCCCAAGGATTTTCCCAGCCCGTTGAAGCCTTTCCTTTGGCAAACAAATCCGTGTTACACGTGTTCCTGAGCGAGCTTTGCATGTCTCTATGTAGAATAACACCTGGGGGCAGACCTTTGAGGCTGCCTTTTCTCAGCAAGAGCTATGAGGAAGTGCATTTTTTCTGGGTGGCAGATGGTTGGGGTGTCCCTTCGGAAAAGCTGTGCTGTGGGCAGTGGGGCAGTTAGCCAGGCTATTCCTGTCCTGCCCAGCCACTTCAGAGGTGGTTCCTGAACTTCATGTCCATTCCCAAAGTAAGCAGGAGAGCGATGTCTGGATGCTGTAGAAAGAAGCGCTGGTGATGCAGTCAGGGAGCAGGGCTTTTCCTTCCCAACCAGGCACAGCCAAAACCCTGCCCAGGTATTGCAATGGGAGCTGTCCTCTTTGCAAAACCCGTTGGGATTTTGCAGGACAAAAGGCTCCATCTCAGTGTAAACTCTTTTAGGTGAAGGTGATGGATTAACAGTGCATGTTGGTAGCCAGTACTGACAAAAACCCTTCCCCACATGGTCTCTGATGTTCCAAATTATCACTGTCTTGAAAAGTGCCAGGGTTTCAATATGGAATAATCCAGTGCTGGTGCTTTATTGCATAAATGTAGCTTGTTATTTATCTGCAAGATGTGGATCGCTGAAGCTCCAGGTCATTGTTTTGGAAAGCTTCTGCTTCCAACTTGATCAGTGACAAAAAAATCAAGGAAGCATGGGAAAAAATTACTAAAAGATTGAGGAAAAAAAGGGCAGGATTTTGGGACAGGATGTTTTGTCTGCCATTTGATTATATACAACTGTTGGAGGATAAAGGCGACACAGAAAATGTGGCAAGAGGATGAGCGAAGACTTCATGTTCATTTACTTTGTGGAAAACAGTGATTTGGAGCCACGGGGAGATCCCTTTAGAGAAAAAAAAACAAACTAAAAACAACTAAATAAAATTCCTCTTCTAATTTATTTCAGGAATTCCTGAAATGGCCAGATTTTAAGATTGCACTTAAACCCCCTTCAGTCAGAGTCTATGCAATGTGCTGGTTGGCTGTGCAGATGCAAGGGAATGTGCCCAGCCAAGGAGAAGTGCTCCCCATGCCGGATTTTGCTGGACTCCACCATCCTCTCCCCAGGTCCTGGCAGCTGAAGGCAGTAGCACAGCGTAGCCACATCACCCTGCATGGTTGTGAATTACTGATGGCAGCCAACTTTTGGGGCACCACCCCCTTCAGGTGTCAGCCCGAGGGGCCACGGGAAGGACTGGATAATGCTCTTTCTGATGACCAGCAGGAATGTGAACTGTGGTGCCCTTTTAGCTCAATTAAAGCAGTGACTTGATTACCATCAGAGGAAAGACAGGATTGATTTGAAAGCTTGTAGAAGATCAAGACTGAAAATGAGCAGGTGTATTTGGGCCAGGCAGACACCAACCTGACAAAATACTCCAGTGCTTGCTTTACTGTTCCTTGAGAAGTCATTTCCCTGAAACTGATTTTCAATGGAGCTCGTCCATCTGATCACTTCAGGCCAAGGGGTTAAAGGCATGTAGATGCTGAACTTGCTGGTGAGAATCAGACACAAAAGCATCTCTCAAGAGCTGCATCCTCCATTGCTTTGGAAAACTCCAGCACTTGGATTATCCAGATGCTTAAATGCCCTGCTGACTCAAGATTGATCTGCTCCCCATGCTCACAGCTGTTGGAAGAGGCCTCTATAACACTGAAAAGCTTTGGAAAAGTTAAAACTTCCAAAATTAGCCATGCTGGTGTTGGATAGCATCAGGGAGGGCTGAGTTGAATCTCCCACGTCGTGAAGTTTCAGAGAAAGTGAGACTGAGAGCAACGAGGGAGAGAAAAAGCCATTAGAGAACAAAATGAGCAGCACTTGATGTGATTAAGTCCATCCCACAGCCCAGTGCTCACACAAAGCTGGGGTGCCAGGCTGTGCAGTGACAGGGATGCTGCTGGAAGAGCTCCGTTCCCAGGGAGCTGCAGCCTGGAGCCAGCAGGACAGCAGCCCCTGAACCTGGTGTGTTCACCTGCATGGGTCACCTGCTGCTTCCCGAGCCTCTGTGCTCTCTGCCTCTGCCCAGCAAGCAAGAAAGGGATCATTCACTAATGAAACATGGCAGCAAAAGGCTCTGCCTGACTGCTGAAGGCCAGGCAGGAGCTGAAAGCTGCTGCACTGGATTTGTACCCCAGGTCCTAACCATGCTTCCCTGCTTCCTCCACGGCACAGTTCAGATGGATGTAACAGGCACCCTGAAGAGAAGGGTCAGGGAGGATCATGAGAAGCCATTTGTGGGATGGGACTAGCTCCAGAGATGTGAGAAACATGTTACCTGGTCTGCATTGCTCTTCAAACTCAGAAATATTTATGAAGAAGCTTTTGCTCATAATGATTGTTCCCCCTTGGGGAAGTGTTGCTGAAGTTTGTGCACTGGCCTGTGAGAGTGTTCAAGTTCAAGTTCAAGTTCAAGATTCACTATCATCATGACAGTGTTTTGTAGAGAAGGGGTGGGTTAGGGTTTTTTTGGAGGGGAAAGGTTCCTAGATTCTGGTTGGGAAGCCAGGTTCCTTTGCCACAAGGAGCCTGGGCAGTGCTGAAATTAAAGCAGGCATCACATTGCTGTTCCCCACCTGATTCTTGGTGTGACTTTAAAACACAAAAAGTGACTTTATGATCCAATGACATTGCTGTAAACCATTTTGCTGCAAGAGAAGCTTAAAGCCAAATCCTGTGTCGGTGTCACTTGGTGTCAAACACAGCATTGTTTTACTCTGATTTACTCCAGCCGAGGATCTGACCTGCTGATACCTGTGGGTGGCTCAGAGGCACACTGCAGGAGGCTGGGGTGTTTTGCATGGTCGGGGTTTCTGAAAGGATTAGAGAGGGTTTGCTTTGGCTGCTCTAGGAGGTTGGGATTATGAAGCATATCTATATGAGAAGAGTGGCAGATAGTGTCTTCATGTATTTCTAATTTGATGAATGTTTAATGCTTCTTTATTGGAGCCTACACATATGTAGAGTAGAGGACTTTAAGAAGGGGTTGACTTATGTCAAATAATTTATGTTTGAGCTGCTCCTTTTACATGAAATGCAGACTTTACAGAGCAAAGAGACTGTAATGAAAACATGAATTAAAGATTAGAGCTAAGCAAGTCTGAGAACACTTAGAATTAAGAAAGACACAAGTTTTCTCCTCCTGTTTCCTTTCCTTCCCTCCACCTTTCCTACATCTCCATCTCCTGGATGAGAGATCCCCAAAAGAGCTTGGCTGGTGCAGGGATTCCTTTCTTGCTCTCCTTGTTTGTGTTTCAAAAACCCTTCTGCAGTATTGATCTGAATTACTGCCCAAGACTGAAGAGCTTAGGCTTGGTCACGAGCAAATAAAAGCCTGGTGGGGACGAGGAGAGGATGTTGCTGTCTTTGCTGTGGCTGGTGGGGTTCTTTGCAGCTCTGGCCACTGATGCAGCTCAAGGAAAGAGGAGTCACCCATGGGGCCCTATCAGCACTTTGGAATTGGAGTTGAACTCCAGGATGTCCCTATTCCACTTGTACCCGCTTCTGAAATCATGATCCCCTCAAGGAATTCACGGAGGAGTTCAAAGGAAAAGGAGTCATTACAGAGCAGTGCCACAATTACTGGTGTAATTAATTTCACATCAACTAAGCCACAATCTATCCCAGTTACAAATGCTTTGTGCCAGGTAGTGCTGGTAGGGAAGCAGTTTGTTAGAATACATGGAGCAGGAGCTGATGTTCCAAAAAGAGGACTGCTGATGTCCTGCCCAGGGATCTGTTGAGAGCAGTGGGTCTCTGTGAAGATGAGCACACAAAGTTCTCCCCAGGCTGTAAAGTTCCGACTTTTTGCACAGCAGCTGCCTGAAAGTATTTGAAGAAGATGGGAATATGCTGGTCAGAAAATGCTGACTCACTGAAACCTCCCTGGGAAAAGAGCCAATTACAGCAAACTCACTGTTTGTACATTAAAAAGGTTTGGGAAAAAACTGGAAGTGATGAGATGCCCCATTTAATGCTTTCAGAACAAACTCTCAAATCTGGGAGGATAAAGGGGTTGACGTGGTTTTAGATGTAGATCTTCATACTTTGGACTATTTCAATGGGGAAGACAGAAACAAAGGGACTTTTGGCACTATTAATTATTTCAGACAGCCTGCTCTGATTTTCACTGAAAGCAGAAAGTGCACCTTTGACTTTCCCTCCCCAGGTGAGTGGGAGCAGAATAGGAGAAATAGCTCTGACTGTGATGGGAAATGTCCTTCCTGCTTGGCTCTCCCCCTCACCTGGGTAAGTAACGAGGTCTAGGATTGACAGAAGCTGACGAGAAAAATGGAAAGGGACTATTTACAAAGGGCTGGAGTGGCAGGACAAGGGGGAATGGCTTCACACTGACACAGTGGGTTTAGACATTCAGAAATTCTTCCCTGTGAGGGTGGTGAGGCCCTGGCACAGGTTGCCCAGAGAAGCTGTGGCTGCCCTATCCCTGAAACCCTCACCATGCACAGAAAGGGCTACAACACCCAGGCAGTGACTGATCCCTCCCTAACACCCGCCTGTGCTACAAGGAAACAGCAAGAGGGAATTTCTGGTTACTTCTCAAGCTGTGCCAGACAAAAAAAGAAATGTATTATTACAGGCAATGTCAAACTGTAATTATTAAATTGGAAATTAAATGGGAAACTGTGATAAAAAACCTGCCCACTCTAGTAACGATTAGATGTATTTGCTGTGTTTTGTACAGAAACCACTTTTTTTCTTGGCTACATCATGCCCCCCAGAGAGTAAATACGCTGTTATCCAGTTCCTGAGGCTGCTGTAAACTGGCCTGGCTGCCTTGCTCCGAGGGAAACATCCATGTTTTGTATGCAGCTGAGGATCTGCCCCCTCTCTCATTCATCCTAACAGCTCCACCGTGAAGGTTTCACATGCAAAAAAAGAATCAGAGCCGGTTCCTGTGCCTGTATAAGCCCCTCTGGGTGAAACTGGACAGTTTCACCCCGACTTGAAAGACACCCCTTCCCAAATGGTTATTTGGGTTTCCTAGTCGGATCAACCCCTGAAATAAAGGTGCCTACTTTCCTTTACAGGTTGAGCTTAACTCATATCTGTGGATCTAAAGGCTAGAGGAGAGCTGCTGAAACAGGAGTGGCCTCCACAGAAGGCATTGCAAGCCCCAGCAAAAACCACCCAGGACTTTCCTTGCTCCTCTGTTGAGTGCATTGCGTTTTTGCAGTTTGCACTGCCCCTTTTCCTGGGCTTGTTTTCTCCCTCTCAGGGAGGTGCTGCCTCCCTCTTGTTTTCATGTAAGAAAGGAGAGGAGAGGAGAGGAGAGGAGAGGAGAGGAGAG